TATAACTGTCAATAAAAGTGACGTTTTTAATGGCTGTCAAGAGAGTTAAAAGATGACGTTTACAAGGTAAGATGTTAAAAATATTTTTAACGCTACCGTTTTTCAACCAAGTAGAAGTGATGGCGGTGGCAACGCAACGCGCATTCCAGCTTTATATATGGCGATAGTATACCTTATTCTTAGATATGAAGTAAAATCACCAATTCTACTCGTTGTAACCAATGCGTCTATGTGTGTGGACCGTAAAAGGAGTAGGTACATCATCCAAGTAACCAACTGTATACAAATTCAGATGATTATATTATAATTTATGAACATTAATATGAATAGTACAATTGGAACAGTTGCTGATATTAATACCTTGAGAATTTAAAGAGCTTTGCAACAAATTAGAATTAACTGATTTGTTAATTTCTTGACCATTAGCAATCATATCCTGATGTGAAGTGGATGATGCGCCTGTAATGGTGGAGCTAGGTGTTGGAATAATTCTTTCAGCAATCGCCTTTTTGTGAGTAATAGACTGGTCGAGGTAACCCTCGGCTACTGATGTAGACTTCCATCCTCCGTGCTTCTTTATTTCGGTGATATTTGCTCCTGATTCCGCCAACAAAGAAGCAGACGATCTTCTAAAACAGTGTCCTGTATACGCCTTTGTGTCCGGAAGATTCAGAAACTCGGCAATGGTAGAGGGCATTTTTCCAAACGTGTTTATACCAACTGGGTTGGCAGTGCATTTGTAATTTGAATATTTCAGGAAAAAACGACGATGATTGATAACAGAAGGGCGTAATGCAGCGTACTTACTAAAATAGTCAACGTATTTTCCAATAATGCAAAAAGAATGACTAATTTTTGTTTTCGTGTTGGGAATTTGAACAATTAACGATGTACCTGCTAATTCAATATCTTCTGTTAATAAATGACATAGCTCTTCACGCCGACAGGCTCCATATATTCCGAAAATAGTGGCAACTTTCACCATCAAGTATTTTTCATCTGGTGCCTCGTTTATAAATCTTTGAACTTGCTCAAACGTAAGGGTTTTTGATTTTTTGGGACTGTAGCCTTCATTTTTCCGCTTTAAGAAAGCGATTACCTTGAAATATTTGCTCACGTCGACACCATTTTTAACGAGCGCACTCGCCTTGATCATTGAAAATTTACTCCAAGAAGTTGACCAGTTCCATATTTTAGATTTCTCTTCCAAATAAGCTAAAAATACGGGTTCATTGAAGTTTCCTTCCACTTTTTTAATTCTACACCAGCTGAGAAAATTAGAATATGCAATGTCATACTGTTGAGCTGATTTTTTCGGTAATAATTCAAACGTAGCTCTTTTGGCAGCCTCTTCAATATCGCCAGGAACACACAATTCATCAGTATTATTATTCTCCATTACGCGAAATTAAGCTTTAAACACTAGCAAGAACTTTAAAAAACCACAAGAACAAAACAGGGTTGTTTGTTGGTAACTAAGGTGATTCGGCGTGTCCTAATACAGTCACTTCACAGCCAATCTGATAATAATTACTGAAACGTCAGAAATTAATTAACATAGGTATGACAAATGACGCCAGCATGTGATCTATTTTATTATCCAAAGGGAGCAGTTCTTAGAGAAGAATTAAGGAGCAGTTATACAAAAAATGTTGTATGGTATTCGTGTTAAAAGTAAGTATTACTTAGTTCGTGAAATTGCTCCACTCGCTTCGCTCGTTTCGCAAACTTTTTCACTCACAAAGTAAA